GGACTGCTACTACTGCCTCCTCCTAGGACTGTTGCCGCTTCTGTTACTATTGCTGCGAAGCGATGACGACGACGACCAAGAGCTTACCCAGCAGCACTAGCACTTATGCGATTGCTCCTATGATGATGTCCGCTTCTACCCCCTGCCACCGCCCCGCCTCTGCGCCGCCGTGTTGTTGCTGGTCTTCCTTATTGAGGCTGCGCTCATGAGAAGACAAGCGCATTGGCTTAGGGGATTCTTCTGCAAACTGGAAGTGTAGCCAAGACCTGCGTGCGCAAACAGATCTGCTTTCCTGCAGTATGCGTGCCGACAACTCGTACTACAGGTTCATGATGGTCAGGAGAAGATGAACTGTTGCTTCTGATACTGACAATGATATGACACGAATAACAATAAGGACACAGCAAAGAAAACACGAAGAGTCCAAATTCAGAGCCAGCCAGGCCGCCCCAAGTGTGAGGGACTGGACCCCGAGGTCCTTCCACAAGTTCGTTTGCCGGGACATCTTGACTTCTGTTCTTTTTGCAGGCATCCGGAGAATCGGACGGCACAAACATAAAGCCCTCAAGTTCAGCCTAAAGCCGACTACAGGTTGTCTATTGACTATCTGAAGTCCCTAGAGAATCGAAGCCGGTCCTAGCTTCGAGTCCGGGTGCAGAAGCAAGCCCCTCATCAGCTTAACAAACCTGCGCCCGCCCGAGCCTCGTGTGGAGCCGCGCCCAGGGCCCGTAGCTGGCCACCCTGCAGACCCCACGTGCTCACGCTTCCAGCGTGTAGGGCTTTTGGCCAAGCGGTATGGAAGCAGAGGCCCAACTTCAATAGCAGCACGAGATCGAATGCAAGCACATCCGAACGCAAGCACGGGTTCTGAGGGGCTTCGGGGCTCCCAAGACCTGAGCCCAGATATCCCGACCGGACTCATTCTGAGCATGCTCTGTCTTCTTCCCACTCGTGGTGGTTGACGTAGTTGATGCTGTCGTTGATTGACATCTGAACCTACCCTTCAAAGGCATGAACATCGCAACCCGCCTGTGCCGAGGCCTCGTGCGGGATAGGAACCCTGAAATCCGCGGCCGAGGGCCCATCCCAGGCGCGGAACCTCGTGAGCGTCTCTTCCGGTGTCTTTTGTCTGGGTCTTCAGCGTCTTGGATTGCTTTGGGGCTGTTCAGCCTCGGGCTTCTTGCAAGCGTTTGGCCGTGGGGCTGCAGTATGGAGTCTTCTGCAGGCTTGGACACGACCAAGAGATAACAACGATTTCCTTCAAAGCCACACACCGCGAACAACGGACAGAAAGAACACTCAGCAACAGTCCGCAGCTAAACCAGAGCGACGCTGCCAGCAGAATAACCCAAGTGCCACACATCAATAACAAAACATCACCGCCATCACCATCATCTCAGTAGCACGCCTGATCCATGAGCTGCTACAATACCAAGTGGCCGTCCCAGTGGATATCCCTTGAGCTCAATACCCAAAACATAGAATCGAAGTAGCATGATCAGTTCATAGAACATACAGCGGTGGGCCTAACACTGACTAACACTTGTTTAGTGCACCCACTTCTGCGAAGTCTGAATGGCATCTGCGCAGCTGCACTGAAGCATAGATAATGCTGCCCGCTTCCGTGGCTCTGAGCAAACATGCCGAGGTCCAGGCGGTGCCTGTACAGCTCCCGCGGCCATCCTTGGAGGGAGGACCCAGGAGGAGCGCTGTGGTTCCGAAGATCCTCCTCCCCACCCCTGGACTCTGGACGACCCTCGAAGCTCCTCATGGACTGGCCGATTGCTGCATCTTCCAAGGTGTGCGTCACCTGGCCACAGTAGCTGTTTTGGATACAAGGGACTTCAGGCTAGTTTGGAGTCTGGGGTGAGGTGTGGAGGTGGGCGTACAGTGAACTGTGGTGGGAACTTCCAGGCAGCCATTGCCAGCGCCAAACGCCTCAACCTCTGCCCGACCCTGACCAAGCCCCGACTCCGAAACAAAAGCATTCCAGGTGGCTAAGTTCAGAGCAATGCCGACACCCCTCCCAAATCCAGTACCAACAGACCTACACCAGGAAAACCCCCAAAAAGTGTTCACAGAGCCGGGGCTGCCAGGAGAGAATAGGCCCCTGCCAGAAGCAGCGGGCCAAAAAAGAACTCCTCTCAGGGAGCAATCTCCGGAGTTGGTAAGTTTAGACATTAGGTGGTTTCAGATTTCGGGATTGAAAATCAGGCGGTCTGTTTGGGCGGCTGGGGACCGTCACTCTTACGAAGCCAAGGGCTTCCCAAGTCAGGGTCTTGCTCTTCAAGGCCGGCTCTTTGCTTCCCAGCCGTGCACAAGAGAGCCCCTGACAGAGCCTTCGGCTTTCGGGTCCTCCGTCGTGTCCGTTGCCTCTCTGACGATCTACTCTGATCGTTCTTTGACCCTTGCTGACTTGAAGGGAAGGCCCAGCGGCTCCTCCAGGAGCACGACCAAGGCGCCCTGGGGCCGAGAGGTGTGAACAGCTCTGACACCGAGAGCCGAGAGCACATAAGCCTAGCTGCGTAGGTACCATTATTGCCATTACATGTTCGAACGTTTCTATGCATGTCGTTTCTTTCGTGCACTCATGCTTTCTCGACGTGTGCATACGCCTTGGTGGCTAACGACGGCCCTGCATATGGACTTTTCTGAGTCTCCGGCTGCTGCCCAGGTCTCGGTATCTGTGGGTGTGACCGTGGCAAAGAAGGCCATAATCACGTACACGGAGACAATGAGAACCTTGGAAAGTGGGGCAATTGGAACTTTGGGCTTGGATTTCGGGTCTGGGAGTCCTTGGGGACCAAATGCATGCGCCCGCATCTTGCATCAAAGCAAGCAAGGCCACACCACTAAAACCGTTCCAAAAGACCATGGAGGAAAACACTGAGGTCAAGGCCAGCAAGGAGATTGCCTTGGCAGGAAGCGATGGATCCCAGTCTCTTGTGAATCTACTGGGCGTTACCACGAGATTTACAAGACTCTCGGCTAGTGAGACCTGTCGGAGCCTCGAAGCCCAGTAGTCTACTGATTTGGTGACGGGGCTCTGCAGAAGTCTGAGACTCCGAAACTCGAAAACCTGCAACTTTACGACAAACCCTTGCGCCTCACATTGCCACAGAAATCTGAAGTCAAGAGCTGGAGTCGCACCCATATCTCTCGGCCACGATGCCCAGAACAGGAGGTTCCGAACACGCCACTCCTTGACCTTTAACCTTGCAGGGCTTGAAATTTCAAGGTTGCTTCCTTCTCAGCGTCACAAAGACACATAAGTGCGTCAGGGATGCGGATTGCTTTGGTTGCAGACTTTTGCGACTCGCAAGTACTGGGCATGGTTTGGGTCGGTCTTGACTGAGCATCATTTATCTTGTTTATATTCATCGTTGTCTGATCTTCTTTAACCCCGTCATCATCATCATCACCACCACCACCATGTCAACCTTATCATCAGCAAGTCATGGTCGTCATCATCGACGTCGCACGGGCTAAGTGGAGAACAATCCTCTTGATCCCCAACTCAAGCAAGAACCCCATGACAGGGCGCTAGCAAGAGCAAAGACAATACGAGCAGCTACGGATCGGACAGGGACCCAGAACGCGGAGAACGAGAAGCAGCAACAGAAAAACCAAAACCAAAAACTTCTGCAACTCAGGGACTGGAGCTCCACGTTGCCATGGGCAGATTTAAAGTTCTGTCTCCTGCCGGTTCGGAGTTTGGGAAGCAGGCGACTTCGGGCTGGGGGGAATGCAGGATACCGGGGCTCGACATGGGAGGTTTGAGGCTTTTGGATGAGAGCTCAATCCTGTTCTCTCACTGCGTTTCGTGCTCTGTGTTCGGATCTGGCAAGGCCACTGTATGCATTCCAGATCCTTTTCCTGAACAACCGTCTGAAAGTACCCTGAGTGCAGATTGCTCTTATTCCGTGGATCGAGCAGCCTAACCTCGCTCCGAAGTGTGACCCCCGTTTGCTCCTCAAAGACACGAGGCCGTAGATCATCAAGTCACTGACCAACGCAGAGGCCAAGCCCAGAAGAAGCGTAATTCCAAGGCCCGCCCCTTCTATGCCTCGGAGAGACGTGGAAGGCCGGCACCCGCCGTTGTGATTTTCAAAAATGTCGGGCTTTGTCTTACTCTTGGCCCTGTGAACCTCCTTGCTCACTACAGACCTCAAGCACAATGCCCGGAATCTCAACCCCATCGGGCTTTCTGTCAAGCTGCATGCAGCTTCGGAGTCGTTTCCTGCCAGGCAATCAGGCAAGGCATGGATTTGGGCTTTCGGGACATGTCGAACGAAACAACCGAGCGATGGCAAATCTGCTTTTCCGGCTCTTTTCGCGTAACGTAAAGCACCAAGGTCCTGTACATGACAGATGGTGCTACGAGCGAAGGGACACTTGCAGTTAAAGCTGCCCATTGAAACGGTGCAGCGGTGGCGCGACACTTTCTTGACCGTTACCGTTACATCCCACTAGCTTACCAGGAAACCCCCCCTGAAAATCTCTGGGGCGCATCCCAAAAGGCTGAGAGAGCCACGGCCGCCAGTGAAACCTGTAACATGACCACGCCAGGTCCGGTGCCCCACCCTCTTTTCTGAAACGTGGCCCGGGGGGTGGCGGCATTTCGTCTAAGGAAATCTTCTTGAAGTTGTGGGTCGAACTCCCCTCCCTTTTACAATTGATCTGGGACGGTACCGGCCTGGGAACACTCTGAGGTCCTGCATATCGGTGCTCTTTTGCACAGGGCGTTCACACAAAGCGGAGGCGTTGGTATGCGTCATAGTCGGGGTCCCAGACGTGTGTGTGTGTGTGTGTGATCTATTGCGCAAAGCAGAGATTACGGAGCCCTGACGTTTACTTAGGAGCCCCGAAAAGCTGACTCCATCCTGGACGCATGCCAACAGGTCGAAGGTTTCGCCCAGTTTCGCCCTTTCGTCTCGTTTTGCACTGCTTCTCTGAAGTTCTCAAGGCCGAAACCTTCGCTTTTGCGTGGTTTTTTACAGTTAGTCCGCCTCGGCTACGAACTCCCACTCATCGGCGCCCACATCGGAGGCATCGGACAAGGACTCGTCAGAGTCCTCCGAGTCCGAGGAAGATGACATCGCCTCCCAGTTCGGCGCCTCTGCGCCTTCGCCTTCCACTGCGTTGCCAGCCACGGCCGGGGCACCTGGGACACCCGCCGCCAAAGCGTTCGCTGGCAGATCCGATTGCTTTACGAAGGGCCGGAAGATCAGGTAGGAAATGAAGCAGAAAGATATGGGGAGCAGCTGCAGAAACGTGCGATCGAGACGACCGTCGCCTTCCTTCAGCTCTCGCCGATCCATCTGCCTGAGCTTTGCCAAAGCCTCTTCGAGTTGCTCCCTCATCACGGAGCTCTGGTCGGCTTCTTTCGTCGCGCTGGTCACCGGGCAGGAGACTGGTGGCGACGGCGAGATTTTGGAGGCCTCTTCAAGGAGCCCGTGCTTCTCTTCCAGGAGCCCATCAATTCGAGCTTGCTTCTCTCGGGACCGCTCACGCAGTCTCCTCAAAGTCTCCTTCAGCTCCTGTTTCTCCACGAAGAGCTGCTGGTTCTCCTGGCTCAGCTTCAGGTTCGCACGTCGCTGGCCCTCGCCCGTCGCCTCCAGCTCCTGAATGCTCTGCCTCGATTCGTCGAGCAACGCTTCGAGCCTCTCGTTCTCCATCTTCATCTCCTCCAACTGTTCTCGCTTCTTCTCTAGATCGGCCCGCTCCCTCTTCAAGGCATCCTGGAGCTCATGCTTCTCAGCGACCGTCTCCCGGATTCTCGCCATCTTCTCTTGGACCTCCTGCCTCACCGCATCCTGATGCTTGTGCACCCTCTCTCTCACTCCGGCCAAGGTGTCCTGGGTGTGCCGGCGCACCTTTTTGAAGAAGCTGTCCGCCCCCTCCTTCAAGCATCCCCAGCCGAAACCGTGCCTCCCCCGATGGTGGCAGGCCTCCGCCAAGCAAGTCAGGACCAACACAGCGAGGACGAAGCGCATGGCCCAGCAAGGAAGGATGGGTGGCACGCTGCGCTTTGGGGTGCTGGAGCCCGAGCAATGTCTCTCCGGACAGAAGACTCACAGATGCCGACATCCACTTCCTCGGGCCCAGGGCCCAGGCAGCTACGGAAACTGCAGCGGAGACACGCCAAGACAGGAGATGCGGCTCCTGAAGCCCCGGACTGGAAGAAGAGAGCCGCCAAAGCGCCCGCAAAGAAGATCTTCAAGAAGATGACCTGAAGTTTATTGAGGGCTCTAGGGCGTTTGCTTTGCGTAAGTTGTTAATCTGCAAGTGTCTGCAGCATGAACTTACATCACAAAACCATTCACGGCGTAAGTTCCTTGAGAGAATCTCGGTCCGAGGAGAGGGCCACGACCTTCGATGCACCTGCGAAGTGAGGACTCAGATGGCTGAAGGGATGCAGTACTGACACGAGCTCCGCGGAGATCAAGTGTAGAATTGGAAGGCGGTGTCGGGGTCTATTTCGAGCAGATCTCCGCGAAAGCTTCCGAAGTAGCAGCTATTGCCTGTGCTCTGCATCACTTGCCTTGAACCCAACACCCTGCTACGAGCAACGAACGTAGCGAAGCCGCAAGGGGAAGCCGAGGCGCGGGAGTAGACGAGGCTGCCATGTCCCGCTGCGAGGGAGCGGTGGACGGCTGGGAAGAGCAGGAGCATGCGGGCGAGCCAATTGGCCTGGAGGACAGCTTTGGGTTGACGATGGGTTTAGGAGGTAAGTCGTCGTCTCGACGACGTGCTTCCGTGGGGCCCTCTTGCACAGCTGAGCAAATCAGAATCCGGTGACCCATGCGCAGAGCCTCCAAGAACAGGTTCGTAGCTTTGGCGTAGCCCGACGAGACGTTGATAATCTGCGGCGGTGTAGTGTGGCTGGGGTTCGGGAGTAGATTTTGGTGCATGTGCCGAAGGCTCCAGCGGAGTGGGGTAGCTGGTTTCGGCAGCGGGCGGCAGTTCACAGTCGAACTCGGAACTGAAGAGACTCTCCTCCAAGCCCCTGAAAGCCATCAGCCGAGGGTCATCGGCCAGCTTCACGGCAGCGGCATAGAGGGGGCTCTTGCCCTTCGTGAGCTCACCACCTTGAGGTGTCGATTGTGAGCTTCATGAGTTGGGGTAAGGACTCCTGGCCCGCGTGTTGCCCCAACACCTCTCAGCATCCAAAGTCCGGAACTCGGCTGGGTAAGGACGGATTACCTCTGATAGCATCTGATTGCCGAGCCGCCTTGCTTGCTGCCCACTGTCCTCGCGAGATGAATGCTCGATGACGGGCGGAAACCCCAAATGCCTTTGAGGGTCTTCGGCCAAAGAAAAAGCTTGTCTTTCGAATGCAGGGTGCCCGTAGTTGCGGGGCTCGTTTCGGCGCCCGGTTTCGGCACAGCGGGAGTTTCGGGAGGCGGGTGTGTCAGTTTCATTCGCGATGTAGTTGCAGTCCGATTCTTCCAGTGCGGGCCTGAGCCTGACCGTGGCGTGAGACAGAAGCTGACCATGTCCTAATCCGAAACTGTCCCGGACCGTGTTCCGAAACTGCGCCTGAATCTAGCCTCGAAATGCCTCGAAAACCCTGTCTGCAAACCCTCCCCACCTCCCGAAGCCCAAGTCCTGACCAATATCGCCAGCTCGAGGGACTCTGGGTCAACACCCGCCTGCCAAAAGCAGGGAATCGATATCATTAAACATCTATATATATATATATACACATATATATGTATATGTATATTTGTACACCTATCTATGCCTACATTCATCTATACATTATCTACATCTAGACCTATATCCATATGAACCTATAGTCGCACTACAACCGTAACCGTGTGACGAGCCGTTTCAGTTAGGGCCCCATTGCCGGAGCATTTGGCGAGATGCACCAACGAGTCTTTGCGGCAGCAGACGAGAAAGCGGTTCAACCCAAAGCCTTCCATCCTTGCCAACACCCCCAAGCACCGCACCCCCAAGCTTCAAGAACTACCAGGGACATTCATCCGTTCGTCCTTTGAGTCCCGGCCGGGCCCGGGGTCGCGGGTCGCGGGGGCCTGCAGGCCCTGCAACACGAGGATGCAGTACTTGCAGAGGCTGCGCGCCTTCTCCTCCGCAGCGAACGAGCTTAGCTCCACCCCCGAAACTATACGGCTGCCTTGCCATCAATCCATATTCTCCATCGTTATGACTATATCAAAAGCACGAACGACTGGCTCTGAGAATTACGGCGCACAGTCCTCTTTCTCCTCCTCTTCGTCCTGGTGGCAAGTAGACTGGGGAAGGTAACTTTTCGAAACGTGGCAGTTCTTGCCCTGGGTGGGTCAGTGGCTTCGCGAAGGGCACCCTTCTTCACCACACCTGGCCTCCTCCTCCTGCTCGTTGTCGGGGTAGCTCAGAGACATCAGCTGCCCCATCCACCTGAGTTCAGGCTGAGGTTGCTTCGACAGCAACACTCCAGCAGGCAGACTTGGGGTCGGTGCGGGCACATCTCTGACATACACACATCCCCAAGCATCCCAGCTCCAGACCCGAAAACTCAGAGACCGATATGCCGAACCGAAAAGCAGCAGAGCGGCTTGGTCTGGTTGCGGCTGATATCTCGGGCGAAAGCCGCGAAGGCCGCGGCACCGAAGAGTGCCAGGCTCACCTGAGACTTTCTCCAAGCTTTGTTTCAAGCCTGTAATTGTTTGTGCATTAGAAGCGGCAGCCAAACACCTCAAACTATCCTATTGCCCTCTGGATGTGCTGGATGGCGAAGAGGGCAGTTGCAGAGCTCGACGACGTCCATGCGCCTGTGCCACACACGCGAGATTTGCCCAGACATCTACTGATTCAGGTGCTGAGGATCTGGAGTGTCCAAGCCCCCCGAATCTACCAAAGACTACAGCAACAGCTTGTTGCCTCGTCCCACTGCATTCATACCCTCCGCGGAGAAGATGCCGGCAGCCCTGTCACGAGAGCATGGCTTGCTCAGCGTGTAGCTTTCAGGCGAGGTTTGTTCAACTTGCACGTAAAGCCTGTGAACATAAAGCAAACGAAAAGCTCAGAATTGCCTTGTGCATCTCAACACCTGGTCGACCACGTCGACCACCTGGTTCGAGGCAATGCCACATGTGGTGCCACATGCATTGAAACCGAAAACCATTAAAACCTTAAACTTGACTATGCAACGAAGATCAACCAACCCTTGTTGGAACGGCAAGATCTCTTCATCCTTCTTCTGTCTGCTACTGTCCTGAGGAAACGATTGGCTTCTACTGCGCGGGAATACCCACAAAACGCACAGTCCTGTAAACAGCAAACGATACGTACATACATTGGCCTTGGAGCGTCGAGTTCACCACACACGCAAACATCAAACCATAGCAAGGGAATGGCAATCATGAAGAAAAGATCGAAGATGCCAAGTTCCGAGGAGCCGACCTGGTCGACCCCACCGCCGTTACCAGGATTCTGGACCCTGGGACCGGCTGCGTGGCATGGAGCTTTAGGCTTTACGACTTTACGCCATGTAAGCCTCGTTACTGCCTCGTTCCGTTGCTGTTGGTACACCACGTGGTAAGGGCGGAGGGCTGACGGCCGAGACTCGGATGCTTTTGATCCCTCCCTGCTGTTATGTATGCATGTCTTGAACATAATAGTGCACTCGAAAAACTCACAATGCCCAATGCTAAACAAAACAGCAACGTGCGTGGATAAGTACGTACAGGCATGCATGCATGCATGTATACATACACACATGCATGCACGCGTACCTCTGAAAATGCAAGATGTGACTTTGAAACCCTAGACTATACGGAGGGTTCTGGCAGGGGGCTTGTGTGCGTGCCTTGCTTCATTTATGTGAGTGTGTGCGTGTGTGCATACTACTTATTGTTATACGTATCCGATCAGCAACCGCAACAATGACGACGGCAAAATCGTCATCGTCGTCATCACGGCGATCACCACCATCATCTTCCCTACCAGTGATCCTCGTCGTCATCATGAGCATTATCGCCAAAGCCACCATCACCACGTCTTCCTCGTCAGCAACCAGTTTAAACGGAGCGAACAAAATTTCTGGGCCCTGCGCGAGTCTCCGCCGCCGGTCCCCGGGCTGACGCCACCGTTTGCAACGTTCGACTCTTCCTTGGCGGAGGGTCGTTGAAGGGACTCTACTTGGCCCGTTTAACCCCTTGGCTCCGCGCGAAAGGGAGCTCCTCGTAGCCCGCCATGTCTTCCTGGGAGCGGTCAGTGGGCCCCTCGTTACACTCCCTACACCTTACCAGGTCAATATGGCGCTAGGGGACCCAAGGGCCCAAAGCCCCGAGTGCCAGTTCCTGAGCTTCTGGGCTCCCGGGCAGCAGGGATGGCAATCACACCACTGAAGATACTCAAGTGGTCTGTCTCGCAAATCAAGGGCACCGGCCTGAGGATCTGCAAGAGTTCCAAGGTCAAGCTCTCGGCTCCGAGTTCGGGGTTTACAGTTCTAGGCTTCGCGTCACAGCTTGCGCATGATGACTGGAGACAGAATGATAAAAAGTTTCGAGAGGGAGTGATTTACCTTGCGAGCATCCACAGAGGGCTGCCTCGCAATGGCAAGAGTTCAACTGATCTTACCCCCCAAAACTCCATGCAGGCGAGAGACGCTCCAGATGGCGCCGTGCTGGCATTTCCCATGTTTGGTCGAACTCGCCTCGAGCAGCGACACGTGCTTTGCATGAGCTCGAATCACGCACAGCACCGGGCCTCAATCCCGAGGTCGACCACCGGAAAGATGTCTGGTTGAAGAAGGCGCACACGATGGAGTCGTTGGCGTCTTCCTGCTGTTCCCGCTTTACGAATCCGTCCATGCGCGTGCTTTCGGCCTCTCCTGCCAGGTATTTACTGCTAGCTCCGAAACGCCCTCCCATCTTCATGCGGAGACGAGATATGTGCATTGTCGATGATTGGAAGTCAAGGCACGATAGAATGAGCAAGTTCGCCCGGACTGCAAGTACCCCTGTCTGCAAGTCCGAACTGGAACCCGGTAAGGGATTCTCATTCGAGGCGAGGTGCCGCCAGTTGCAGCGTCATCGGTTGGGCCAGCTGAATGCCTCGGCCATGTGTTAGCCGATGTAAAGGATTTGGAGCACCTGCACATGCCCTCAACCTGTTCGAGATCTGCCCAAAACACTTTTCCCAGTCTGCAGCGACTGCTTGCAAAGCGAGCGCGACGCTGACGTGAGTCCATGCAGGCGCGCGCAGCCCAGCAAACTTGAACTGTGCTTTAGAGTTGGCCACTTGGCTAAGAAAACCAGACAGAGCCAAAGAGAACCTGGACCAAATCTGAACTCAAGGCCAATTAAAAGTCTGAGAGACCTCTTAAAAGCAACATGGGCTTCATTATCAGGGCATACGGGCTTTGCAGCTTCGAGAAGTCTTTAATAAGGTTTTTGGATGTTGGGGCCTCGGATCGGCTCCCCGTTGCTGTCATAGACCGTGATGGAGAAGGGCTGCGTGGCGAGCGCCGGCGCGGGCTCGGCCTCGGCTTCGAAGCGACGGGACCCTCGAAAGGATCCGTGTCACTGGGTTTCTGTAAGGTCCGGGTGGAGAGTGTAGAGACTAACGGAATCGGAACCGGATGGCCATTGTGTTGCGTTGCTAGTTGTCAGCAACGCAACAGAGCTCAAAACGAGGAAGACGTGCAGCAAGAAGGAGTAGGCACACTGGTTGCAGAAGTATAGTCATGCAAGTATTGACAGCAACAGAAACAGCAGTGGCAGCAGCAGTTCTGGCACTACCAGCGCAGTATCAGTGCAGCAGCAGTAGCAGTACCAGCAGCAGTACTAAGCAGCACAAGCACCAGTAGCAGAAGTTCTCGGACAGCGACGAGAAGCTGGTTTTCAGGCTTCGAAGCCAATAGCAAACTGTCATACATGCTGGCACGAGTCAACGAAACGAACTGGAGCTGCAAGACTATATTTCAGACTCTGAACGAGAATCAACGTCGGAGCATGCGTCACCGCTTCTAAGCAGCTCTCTCTTGGCTCAAAGGCTGCTCGAAACACCAAGAATCCCAAACCAACAAACCGCTTCGAAACCGAGCCGAAGCGCGTCGGAGACGTTCAAGTCCATCCTCGCTTTTGCAGCTCCGACGGCCTTTTGCGAAATAGTTGACGCGCAACAGTTTCAGGCATCGGGTTGAGAGCAGATTGTGCGATTGTGGCGCCCACGGCTGCGCACCTCAATGTCGCGTCCAAACTGCATCGGGAGCTTGCCGGTGGTGATCGCAACCTGGGCGTGGATGAATGATAAAACATCATACAAGCTGCGAGTAGCTTGCCACTACAGCTGCTGCTGATTACTGCCACTGCCACTACTGCTGCTGCTGCTGCTGCTGCTGCTGCCGCCGCCACTAACACTTACACTACCACTTCTACTCCCTCTATTGTCATATCACTCCTCCTGATGGGCTGTTACTTCTGATATACCGTGATATGCTCCGAGTTCTTCCCGCCTACTGCTGCTATCGCCACGGTCGTGATGACGATAATGATGGATATGATGGCGAAGGCGATGGTGATGACGATTATGACGATGGTAGTGATGGTGATGATGGTGATGATGAAGATGATGATGATGATGATGATGATGATGATGTTGACGGGGATGCGGGTGATGATGATGATGATGACGGGGATGCTGGTGCTAGTGATAAAAAGCTACCAGTACGATAGCTGATGCCGACGAGCGTGATAATGATGATGATGGTCATGATGATGATGATGATGATGATGACGGTGATGATGATGACTCCCATGACGACTCTTCTGATGTTGATGATGGATGAGTGCAGCCCTTGCTGTCGTCACTGGGGCTTGATGCGGTTACTGTCATCATGACTCGAGCTATGGTTGTCCCGCCCCGATTGTCCTGGTTTGCAATGACATGTCTGTTTTTGCTTCCGTGTTCCTGCACTTGGCGGCGGGATCCCCACGAATGCAAACCCGGCAACTCTCTCTAGCATAAGTGCTGAGTGTTCTGATCATTCAGACCATTCTGCTTGGCTTGTGATACGTTGTGACGAGGTGTGTCCATGATGACCACACTAAGACCGAGCTTCTCAAGTGTCACCCCCGCACGCAGGGAGCCAGGCTGGGCCGGAGGATCCACCACTGATTTGGTCAAGGACGGCCAGGGGGACACTCACCTTTTGACAGAGCTTGTGTTGGTTCGCTGGTTTGATTGGCCAAGGAGGCAACGGTTCACGGCTCAATTCTCGGGCCCGGCCTGCGGTGCAAAGGTACCGTCGCTCACCACGGTCTCGATCTGCATGATGCTTTGGCCTCCGCTAGGTATCCATGCGGATCTCCAAGGAAGACATGCTGACAAAACGCCCCTCGGTAGAGCTCCTGAGGATAGGCAACAGAGATCTGCGTTTTTGCCGCAGAATCTTTGCATGCCGAATGCTGGAACTTTATAGTCGCATTGCAGTCTGCCACTCTGTCGAAGAACGACGAGGAAATCGCCGCAAAAGACTTGAATTAGACAGAAAGGTAGGCAGATATAGCACGGCAAATACATGCCCTGCGAGATATGCAGGGCCAACGAATTCACTGCACGCTTTCGGCACAGTCTTCCCGGGGCGCTCTCACACCTCCCCGGCAGTGGGGCATGCTTGGCTCTGCAGGACAACGCGCGCGTTGTAGGGCTTCACCAGGTTTACGATAACCTCCACTTCCAGGATTGGTCACGAAAAAGTACTGATAAGCACTTCGATTACCAGCATTATTGCTAAGGCTAAGGCTACGGTTCTCACGGTCGTTGTACTGGTGCGGATTGCTTTTTCCCGACTGGACTTCATCTGAGACAGGGTCTTTAGCTGAAGTCAAGTGGCATGGTCTTGATCTGGGCAGTACCTCACGGTGTACTCGTAGTTGCTCAGGCCACATCCTTGATCATTCTCGATGGTGATCATGTTGTCGTCGCTCTGGAATTCTGCACCATCACACTCGGCCGACTGGGGGCCTTCTGCCTTCATGTCGACAATGCCGGTGGAGCCGTCATAGCTCAGGACATGGAGCGAGAATTTCTCGACAAGGAATTGGCCACCATAGCAGGACGGACTGTTCTCTGCCAGGCCTCCGTTGCCAGTGCAGGCCACCTCGTCGAAGGCTCCGCGAAGGGACTGGGGCTCGGCTGCCACCAGGGGGAGCACAAAGAGGAGCGCACGCATCGACATCGGAAAGGAAGGATAGGCCGAGGGGCTGAGCGGCTGAGCGGCTGATCACTCTGAGAGCCAAGAGCTGCGGGAAGCACGAGGCTCCTCGCCCACACACACACGCACGCACAGGCAAATGCTGCGGCGGCCTGTGTTGGCAGCTGCCACAAAGGTCAACATTGTCACCTTGGCTTCCGAGAATCGGAGCCTTCTTGAGCTTGAAATGAAGCAATGGCCATGGCCTCCGCGACTTGTCCGCCCAATTGCGCCCAAGTCGCCGTGACCTCTGCGCCGACAGCCGTGCTTGCAGTGGTCACCAGCGGCTCGACGAGCGGCTCGCCTCCGAGGCCCATTGCGCTGGCGGAAGTATGTTGAAGGTCTGACGGATGCAATCCCATCAGCAGCGCACCTTCCAAGCTCTCCAGGAGGGCGGACATGAGGTTGGCCTCAGTTGGACTCGTGGTCAATGAACTAGCAGGAAGACGAGTCATGTCCAAAAGAGACACACTTTGCTCGAGTCCGATTCAGAGTTCAGGTTGCAGGGTGAGAACTACTTGACCACAAGGCAGCATGAACTGGGAAGGCGTTCGAAGTCTCAGCATGTTGGTCCTCTTCTGAAATCAACTTCCCAGGCTTCCGAGCAGTAACATCTTCCTCTGCCCGGTCGAGCGCACCGATCGCTCGCAAGGCCACCGCTTCCACCTGGCACTCAGAAGCTGGAGAAGCCAAAGAGCCCCAGGCCCCAAGCCTCCTCTCATCCTACCACCAGATTCTTGAGGCTGCAATCTATATTCGAACTCTCCCGACACCGCTGAACCCTCAACAGGATCGAACTTGAATCAGGCGAGGTATCACCATTGTCGTTGTGGTGGTTGACGACAAAGTCGTAGTTGCTTGGATGTCGGACAGATCGGACAGGCATCACTCCAACGTAACACTACCCGCAACCAGGAGCAGCTGCGCACACTCTGCAACGGCACATGGGACAAGGAATCTTGGGCTGTGACTCGTGATGGTGATGGTCGTGCCTGATAGGGGAGCAAAATCACCCGTCACAGAAGGCTTCAACAAAACTTACGCAGACTCCGAACGGGTTCTCTTCTCTCACAGCGCAGTCAGAACCCGGCTCGATGAGGAGGTCGTTGAGGTGGAGGTGGTGGAACCTGAAAGAAGTCGTAACCATTTTCGACGAGAAGCATCCTATCACGTCGAAGACCACCCCTAGTCATTCCGCCCCGACCCCCGATGCGCTATCTGGCAAAGCAGCTGGAGGTGGTGGTTGTGGTGGTTGTCGTGTTGGTCCAGGTTGTTGTCGACGACCTGGCACGGTGAGAATCCTACAAGACTACGAAGTTGAAGTAGAAGCAGAAGACAGGTATTGCCGCAACATCTGCAAGGCACGATGTGGTGCTGCTACTCGTCGACGACGTGGAGGTTGAAGAGCTTGTTGTCGATGTGGTGCTGCCTGGCAGAAAAGATACCATCGAAGCGACTTGAGCCGCATGGCGCGCGTGTCTGAAACTCAGAAGCTGGGGCGGATGCTGCTTGTTGTGGAAGAGGTGGAAGAAGAAGTGCTGGTCGACGAAGTACTGGATGACGAGGTTGAAGTCGAGCTTGTTGTTGAGGAACTTGTTGATGTGCTCGTGGTCGAAGTGCTGGATGAGGACGTACTTGTCGATGATGTTGAAGAAGAACTCGTGGACGTAGAGCTGGTCGATGTCGAGCTGGTAGAGGTGCTGGTGGTGCTGGTGGACGAAGTGCTTGTTGAGGTTGTGCTCGTTGAACTGGAAGACGTGGATGTGCTGCTTGTCGAGGACGAACTGGTTGAAGTTGAAGTAGTCGAAGTCGAACTGGTGGAGGTGGAGGAGGTACTGGTCGACGAAGTGCTTGTAGAAGTAGTGCTGCTGGAGGACGTGCTGGTAGAGGTGCTGGTTGTACTGCTGGAAGATGTGCTGGACGAAGTCGTGCTTGTTGACGACGTACTGGTCGATGTTGTGCTTGTCGACGACGTACTTGTCGATGTTGTGCTTGACGACGACGTGCTAGTAGATGTTGTGCTGCTGGAGCCTTGGTCGGCATACTCGGAGTTGGTTTAGGGTCTGAGGGCACTGCTTGACAGATGTTCAATTTCAACACAGACACGAAAGACCGCTTGTCAAGCTACCCGTCCTTCTTCCGTGTGCATATTATGACGAGTGTACTTGGGGTAAAGTTGCGCTGTGCACAGGCAAGTCTGGAAATGTTCCCGTTTTGTGGCGGGAAGTGGCACGCAGCCCTACCAACGCTCGGACACAACAGAGACTGTCTGAGGGCCGAGCTCGTGCTGGTCGACGTCGTCGAGGTACTTGAGCTGCTTGTAGAAGTGCTAGTCGTCGAAGAGCTGGAGGTGGATGTTGTCGTACTGCTGGTCGTAGAAGAACTTGTGGAAGTAGTGCTCGAGGACGATGTGCTCGTGGAGGTAGAGGTGGTACTGCTGGAAGAAGTGCTTGTGGAAGTGGTCGAACTTGAAGACGTACTGCTTGAAGTTGTAGTCGAACTTGAACTAGTTGAGGACGTAGAGGTGGTGCTGCTGGACGACGTGCTGGACGAAGTCGTGCTGCTTGACGACGTGCTTGTCGACGTAGTACTCGTCGACGACGAGCTTGTAGAAGTTGTGGTGGTGCTGCTTGAAGATGTGCTGGATGAAGTCGTGCTTGTGGAAGAGGTGCTTGTGGAAGTGGTTGAACTTGAGGACGTGCTGCTTGAAGTAGTAGTGGTACTGGAGCTACTTGAGGATGTAGTGGTGGTGCTACTAGACGAGGTACTCGTGGAAGTGGTGCTGCTGGACGACGTGCTAGACGAAGTCGTGCTGCTTGACGACGTGCTTGTCGACGTAGTGCTCGTCGACGACGAGCTTGTAGAAGTTGTGGTGGTGCTACTTGAAGATGTGCTGGATGAAGTCGTGCTTGTGGAAGAGGTGCTTGTGGAAGTGGTTGAACTCGAAGACGTGCTGCTAGAAGTTGTAGTGGTACTTGAGCTGGTTGAGGATGTGGTTGTGGTGCTGCTAGACGAGGTGCTCGTGGAAGTGGTGCTGCTGGACGACGTGCTGGACGAAGTCGTGCTGCTTGACGACGTGCTTGTCGACGTAGTGCTCGTCGACGACGAGCTTGTAGAAGTTGTGGTGGTGCTGCTTGAAGATGTGCTGGATGAAGTCGTGCTCGTGGATGAGGTGCTTGTGGAAGTGGTTGAACTCGAAGAAGTGCTGCTGGAAGTTGTAGTGGTACTTGAGCTGGTTGTGGATGTGGTGGTGGTGCTGCTAGACGAGGTGCTCGTGGAAGTGGTGCTGCTGGACGACGTGCTGGACGAAGTCGTGCTGCTTGACGACGTGCTTGTCGACGTAGTGCTCGTCGACGACGTGCTTGTCGACGTTGTGCTGCTAGTGGAGCTTGTCGAGGAAGTCGAGGTGGTGCTGCTGGACGACGTACTGGTGGAAGATGTGGTGCTTGACGACGTGCTGGTTGACGTGCTGCTAGTGGAAGAACTCGTCGTGGATGTAGTGCTGGTGCTGCTGGAAGAGGTACTGGTGGAAGTAGTACTGGTTGAAGACGTGCTAGTCGATGTTGTAGTACTGCTGGAAGAGCTTGTAGAAGTTGTGGTGGTGCTACTTGAAGATGTGCTGGATGAAGTCGTGCTTGTGGAAGAGGTGCTTGTGGAAGTGGTTGAACTCGAAGACGTGCTGCTTGAAGTTGTAGTGGTACTTGAGCTGGTTGAGGATGTGGTTGTGGTGCTGCTAGACGAGGTGCTCGTGGAAGTGGTGCTGCTGGACGACGTGCTAGACGAAGTCGTGCTGCTTGACGACGTGCTTGTCGACGTAGTGCTCGTCGACGACGAGCTTGTAGAAGTTGTGGTGGTGCTACTTGAAGATGTGCTGGATGAAGTCGTGCTCGTGGATGAGGTGCTTGTGGAAGTGGTTGAACTCGAAGAAGTGCTGCTGGAAGTTGTAGTGGTACTTGAGCTGGTTGTGGATGTGGTGGTGGTGCTGCTAGACGAGGTGCTCGTGGAAGTGGTGCTGCTGGACGACGTACTAGTGGAAGATGTGGTGCTTGATGATGTGCTGGTTGATGTGCTGCTCGTGGAAGAACTCGTCGTGGATGTAGTGCTGGTGCTGCTGGAAGAAGTACTGGTGGAAGTAGTACTGGTTGAAGACGTGCTTGTCGATGTTGTAGTACTGCTTGAAGAGCTAGTAGAACTTGTGGTAGTGCTACTTGAAGATGTGCTGGATGAAGTCGTGCTCGTGGAAGAGGTGCTTGTGGAAGTGGTTGAACTCGAAGATGTACTACTTGAAGTTGTAGTGCTGCTCGATGAACTTGTAGAGGTCGTCGATGTGCTTGTCGAAGACGTACTGGTGGAAGTTGTACTCGATGAGGAAGTCGACGTCGAAGTTGTGCTTGTGCTGCTTGAAGATGTGCTGGTGGAGGTGGTACTGCTGGAAGAAGTGCTTGTTGATGTCGTGCTACTTGTAGAGCTTGTCGTGGAAGTACTACTGGTGCTGCTGGAAGACGTGCTGGTGGAAGTTGTGCTGGTAGATGATGTGCTGGTAGATGTGGTGCTGCTTGTAGAGCTAGTGGTAGACGTGGTTGTAGTGCTACTGGACGACGTGCTGGACGAAGTCGTGCTGCTTGACGACGTGCTTGTCGACGATGTGCTCGTCGAGGATGTGCTCGTCGACGATGTGCTTGTAGAGGAGCTGCTTGTGGAAGTCGTGCTGGTGCTGCTTGAGGACGTGCTGGTTGACGTAGTGCTGCTAGATGATGTGCTGGTTGAAGTCGTGCTGGTTGTGGAGCTACTCGTTGAAGACGATGTGGTGCTGCTTGAGGACGTACTTGTGGAGGACGTAGATGTCGAAGATGTGCTTGTCGACGATGTGCTTGACGAGGATGTGCTGGTTGAGGAGCTGCTTGTTGAAGACGTGCTGGTACTGCTGGAAGAAGTGCTCGACGTTGACGTACTTGTCGATGAAGTGCTACTTGTGGAGCTGCTTG